AATGATTTATGGGTAACACTTAAGGCTCCGTTAGTTAATGTTAATATATTTACTAATAAGAGCAAACAATGAGCAACACAATTATTACACTGTTTATACACCTTTATTCATTAAAAGCTATATTTACCAAGCGCAGCTTGGATTTATTAATGCTTTAGTAAATGTTGAATTATGATGCTGGATTTATTTATGTTAGTAAATAATTGAACTAGCATCAACTAACGGAGCTTTATTGTAAATTGTGACTGATTTATGCTTGAGGGCCATGAACACATATAGAAAGTAAATGTAAGCGACATACAGCGGGTCTGCACACTGCTGTGAATTCTTTGTTATGAGGTTTGTGAAAGGAAAGACACATAGTGCGTGGTCAAACTCACAGCAGAAGTTTAACCACAACTATGAGCTCAACTCTTTATTTTAGGCCTCGTAATCACTAATATCATTTTTTCCTATTGCAAGCTGTTTTTTTCATCCCTTTCTTGCCTTTTGTGTTGTGTTAAAGTATGAATAATATCAGGCAGTGGCAGCAGCTCATAGAGTCAGGCATAAGAAGGAAAACTGTTTAAAATAATTTCAGCAGTTAAACATGAGACGGTTGATTAAAAATAGATCTCAGGTATAAGGTCAGTCATTTTTAAGTCAAAACTTCAGTGGTTCAGCTTATAAACTCTTTAAGACTCATTTGACAAAAAGATTACAGGCCGAACATACACTCACCGGCCACTTTATTAGGTACACCTGTCCAACTGCTCGTTACGCAAATTTCTGATCAGCCAATCACATTGCAGCATCTCAATGCAGTTGGCATGTAGACATGGTCAAGACAAGCATCAGAATGGGGAAGAAAGGGGATTTAAGTGACTTTAAACGTGGCATGGTTGTTGATGCCAGGCAGGCTGCTCTGAGTATTTTATAAACTGCTGATCTACTGGGATTTTGTACACACAACCATCCCTTGGGTTTACAGAGAATGCTCTGTAAAAATAAAAATATCCAGTGAGCGGCAGTTCTGTGGGCGCAAATGCTTTGTTCATGCCAGAGGTCAGAGGAGAATGGCCAGACTGGTTCAAGCTGATAGAAAGACAACAGTAACTCAAGCACTCGTTACAACCGAGGTCTGCAGAAGAGCATCTCTGAACACACAACACGTCCAACCTTGAGGCGGATGGGCTACAGCAGCAGAAGACCACACCGGGTGCCACTCCTGTCAGCTAAGAACAGGAAACTGAGGCTACAATTCACACAGACTCACCAAAACTGGACAATAGAAGATTGGAGAAACGTTGCCTGCTCTGATGAGTCTCCATTTCTGCTGCAACATTCGGATGGTCGGGTCAGAATTTGACGTCAACAACATGAAAGCATGGATCCATCCTGCTTTGTATCAACGGTTCAGGCTGGTAGTGGTGGTGTGATGGTGTGGGGGAGATTTTCTGGGGATACTTTGGGCCTATTAGAACCAATCGTGTCAATCCCGCAGCCTACCTGATTATTGTTGCTGACCATGTCCTTCCCTTTATGACCACAGTGTCTCCATCTTCTGATGACTATTTCCAGCAGGATCACGCTCTGTCATAAAGCGTGAATCATCTCAGACTGGTGTTCTAATCATGACAATAAGTTCACTGTACTCAAATGGCCTCCACAGTCACCAGAACTCAATCCAATAGAGCACCTTTGGCATGTGGTGAATGTGCAGCTGACAGATCTGCAGCAACTGGGTGATGCTATCATGTCAATATGGACCAAAATCTCTGAGGAATATTTCCAGTACCTTTTTGAATCTAAGCCACGAAGGATTAAGGCAGTTCTGAAGTCAAATGAGGGTCCAACCCGGTACTAGTAAGGTGCACCTAATAAAGTGGTCGGCGAGTGTATACTTAACAAAATATATAGATACAACACTTTTGTCTTTGCTTCCCTTTTTTCTGAATTTAAAGAGCTAAATCTTTAACAAAAGGCCCGTTCTTTAAAATATTGTTCACACATTTGTGTAAATCTGTGTTAGTGAGCACTTCTGCTTTACAGAGATGAACCATCCTCCTCACAGGTGTGGCATATCTAGATGTTGATTGGACTTGATGATTATTGCACAGGTGTGGTTTAGGTTGGCCATAATAAAAGGCCACTCTAAAATGACTATTTCAATGACATTGGCACTTTGGAGAGGTGTTCTCTTCATGGATGAACACATTGCTGATGTCAGTGTTGTGAATGGATTGGCCCAGGGTGGTGGTGGGGTTTTGGTATGGGCAGGCATATGTTAAGGACAATGAACACAGCATGTTGTTGATACTCATTGTTACTCATTGACCCATTGTTATCAATAATCCGCCTCATGTTGCAGCATGATAATGCACGGCTTCATGTTGTGAGGATTTGTACATAATTCCTGGAAGCTGAAAACGTCCCAGTTCTTGAAAGACAGCATATTCACTGGATGTCACCCACCGAGCATGTTTGGGATGCTCTGGATCAGTGTGTACAACTGTGTGTTCCAGTTCCTGCCAATATCCAGCAAATTCACACAGCCATTCAAGAGCAGTGGACCAACAATTCACAATCAACTACTTGATCAACTCTGTGAAGGAGAAGTGCTGCACTGCATGAGGCAAATGATGCTCACACCAGATACTGACTGTTATTCTGATGTAAAGATGTCTGATTATTATACACAAAAGCAGCCACACAGTCAATGCAGTCTTCCATAAGAGACAAACAGTAACTGTCTGGTTTTGTAATGGCATTAACACATCGAAAAATAGTGCAAAAATGAAATTTGCAGTCAGATCCGTTGATGAGCAAACAAGGTGAGCTGTAATTTGGTTATGCAACATTATTATTAGGTATAAATAGTATCAGTTTTACAACTGAACTTGCCTCTAGGGTCTTACTCTATATGCAAGTTGTTTGGGCAATGAATCACTAACACTGATATCATGTTCTGTTAGTGAAGGATAAGAAGGAACATCAGAAAACAGATGAACAGCAGTGACATCCATCATATCAGAGCGTTCTGTAACAGTCAAAAGGGAAAGAATCGCATCAAGATCTTGAATTAGCTCAGATTTTTTCAACCTTCCTGCCATCAACTCTGCAGATCTGAAAAAATCAACATCATCCTCAAGGGTGGTCAAGGCTACTGCGCTATCAAAAGCAACAGAGGGCAAAGAACACATCAAAAGTCCAGCACAGGACAGCGCCTGATCAACAGATAGATCAGCATAGGACAGCGTCTGCTTTTTGATCACTGGAAAATCTCTGGGTTAAAAATTTAGCACAGCCGACTTCTGTCTAATTGAGATTAAAAACTGCTCGTGTGTTGTTTGTTGTGTGTTTGTTTGAATTATGAATATAATGCAATGGTTGCCTGTTATTTTAAATGGAAAAGAAGAGATGAGAAAAAGAGCTCGGACGAGAGAGAAAGTGTCTGAGATCCCTTCGTTGCTAAAGCACTGAGTCTTTTTGACTCCACTAAACACTAAACATATTGTGGTACTTTAGGCAGATTTTATTTCTGGTTTACTTTTAGGTCGGTTTGGTTCTTTTAAAATGAACTATATGTGAAAACCCCCATTACAACTTTGAAGCTTGTTGGAGCCATTTATGGGTTGCAATTTTCTTTTGCACCACTAGAGGGTGTATAAGGTATTTATGCTCTCCTCACGACGAGTGAGAGATGTGTAGAAGAAGAAGGTCAAACAAACTTTTTGACCGCCATGCTGTGAGAACGGGTTTATGTTTGTTTTGATGTTTACTTTTAATTTTGGGAAAGGACAGTAAATGGATTTGAATATCCAACTTTATTTACAAAGGTATGGACATTCCACTTTTTTTATTGACCCGTTTAAACAACAAACGTGTCAGAACCAAGACCCAAATATTCGCACACACAAAGCTTTTTAAATTAATATTTGCCATTTATTATGTATTTATATTACTTATTATTTAGCATTTAAATTAGACATGCTTAGAAGCAGTTTTAAGATTGTAGATGATACTTCAAATATAAGAGATAAAACATGAAAATTATTACAGTGCTGCAATTATTGACAATATAAAACACAATACATCACTAAATCTTATTAGTAAACAGACTTTTACTTGCTTTAGAGGATTAAAATATCACAAATATAAAGTCTACACAACTAATGTTTTTAAACCATGTTTAATTTATAAACACAAAAAAGACACAAGTAAATCAAAAAATACAAACACAATTTAACAAATGTAGATAGAAAGGGAGCAGATAAAGTGTCTACAGAATGGGAGTAATGGAAGTGGACTTCAGTAAGAAAGTGAGAGCCCTGACTGCAGACATATACTTGAGCTTATATACAGTTGTGTTTGGTAGACCTTAGAATCAGCATTACAGTGGTCAAGATCAAGGCTTGAACCAAAGTCTCACTATCACTTATGTTTAAGTACAGATGTAAACAAGTAAAGTTACATACAGCACCAGAAACACCAAGAGCATCATGTCGTGATATAAGAATGCTGAGAAACTGTCAAAAACTGAGGAAACCTCTAACAGAATTAACAAGCTGACAGAGTAAGAGGTCATGAGGAGGTTATTGATAACTTTAAGAAGAGCTGTCTCAGTGCTGAGGAGTGTGTGAAAACCAGACTCTCATAGAGGTTAAAGTTCTCTGTTAATACTAGCCTTGTGCTCAACACATTTATTTTCATCATGTAAGGCACATGTTGGCTCAGTGAAGAGTGAGAAGGTCCCTGGTTTGAGTCCTGTTTGAGTCAGAAGGTGTTTCTGTGTGTTGTTTTCATGTCCTCCATGTGTTGATGTGGGTTTCTCAGTCTAAACACACACAGTGTAGCTGAGTTGGAGAAACTGAGCTGACTGTATGAGTGAGTGTGTGAATGTGTGTCTGAAGTCTTGTGATGATCTGAACTTGTCCAGAGTGTTTCTCTGTCTCCATCTGGCGTTTGGAGAAATGGAAATATCATGTTGAAGTTTTTTCCTCTGTTAGGGCAAACTGACTTTAGTCTTCAGAAGATGATGATACTGTGAAACACACACACAAATATGTTTATTTTCTTTTCAAGTTCTGTTTACAGTTTTCAAAATGCCATTATTATTATTATATTGTAATCTTTAAATTGATATTGATCTGTGTAATATAAAGGAGCAGACAGTATCTGTACCTCTCGCTCTGATGTATTTGTAGATCAGTACAGCTGTCGCGAGCAGATACACACAAACTGCCAGAAGAAAACTGACAATCTTGTAGACAGAAATCTGACCTGAACCTGACAACGAAAATGAGAATCATTTTAAAACTATTTACTGTAGTAATATTTCCTCCCATCTCTTATTAATTACACCACCATTTAATCTGCATACCTGCAATTATTATTATATATTACTACTATTATATATCAGATTAATTTTATGTCATTATTTTTCTCACTTTATCAAAAACAAAAACAAAAATCATGTCTGAATCAGGGAAATCTGCACCTAAGAAGGTGCAACAAATCAAACAGTTCCATTAAAAATCTCAGGTGTTGAAGGAGACTTTTATTTCTGGAAAGTAAAATCTTAACACTAGTTAATGCAGTCTTCATAGAATTGTCTAATGTTATTATGAGAAGGTGATGAGTTTACTATTCTCTAATATGTTAATATTTACATAATTGTCTATGTTAAATATTTGAGATAATGACCAGCCGTTAGTAAGTGACAGACTTGATTATATTGATGAACTGTGCGAGTTTCAGAACTGCAGTGAGTCTCACCTCTGACTGAGATCCAGCTGTGCGGCGACTCTCCTCTCTTTGTTTTACAGTAGTAGAAACCCTCATCAGACTTTGAGACAGTAGGGATGTTCATCTCTCCTGTCGTCTGATTCTGGATCAGTGATCCATCTTTATAGAAATCAGCTGTGAGGATGGAGGAGTTTGTAGATCGATGTAAACAGTGTAGAGTCAGAGTTTCTCCCTCAATCACAGGATCAGCAGAACTCTCCAGAATCACAGCACCATCTACACAACACAACACAACACACAACACAACACACATCTGTTTATTTTCTATATTTGACTAAATTGTTCAAATCTGCAGTGTCGTGTAGTCCAGCAGTACAAGAAAAATGTCAGTTGTGGATAAGACATTTACATTTAGTCATTTACTGTAGCAGACGCTTTTATCCAAAGCGACTTACAAATGAGGACAAGTAAGCGATTTACACAACTATAAGAGCAACAATGAATAAGTGCGGTAGGCAAGTTTCAGGTATGTAAAGAAAGTGTAAGAAGCAAAACATTAGTTTTTTTTTTTTTGTTTGTTTTGTAGTAGTTAGTGGAGGAGCCAGAGAGGGAATTGCAGATTAGGAAGTGAAGTGGAGACTAAATAGTTGAGTTTTTAGTCGTTTCTTGAAGACAGCGAGTGACTCTGCCGTTCTGATGCAGTTAGGTAGTTCATTCCACCAACTGGGCAGATTGAATGCAAGAGTTCGGGAAAGTGATTTTTTCCCTCTTTGAGATAGAACCACGAGGCGACGTTCATTCACAGAACGCAAGTTTCTGGAGAGCACAAAAATCTGCAGATGTGTGAGCAGATAAGAAGGGCCGCAGCCAGAAGTCGCTTTGTAAGCAAACATCAGAGCTTTGAATTTACATTTACATTTTACATTTAGTCATTTAGCAGACGCTTTTATCCAAAGCGACTTACAAATGAGGACAAGGAAGCAATTTACACAACTATAAGAGCAACAATGAATAAGTGCTATAGGCAAGTTTCAGGTCTGTAAAGTCTAAGAAGGAAAGTATTAGTAGTATTAGTCTTTTTTTTCTTTTTTTTTTTTTGTACAGTTAGTGTGATATTCAGAGAGGCAATTGCAGATTAGGAAGTGAAGTGGAGACTAAATAGTTGAGTTTTTAGTCGTTTCTTGAAAATAGCATGTGACTCTGCTGTTCTGATGCAGTTAGGGAGTTCATTCCACCAACTGGGCAGATTGAGCGTTCGCTTTCGTGAAAGGGATTTCTTCCCTCTTTGGGATGGAACCACGAGGCGACGTTCATTCACAGAACGCAAGTTTCTGGAGGGCACATAGATCTGCAGAAGTGAGAGCAGATAAGGAGGAGCAAGGCCAGAAGTCACTTTGTAGGCAAACATCAGAGCTTTGAATTTGATGCGAGCAGCAACTGGCAGCCAGTGCAAACGGACTAGCAGCGGAGTGACATGTGCTCGTTTAGGTTCATTGAAGACCACTCGTGCTGCTGCATTCTGGAGCAGTTGAAGAGGCTTGATAGAGTTAGCTGGAAGCCCAGCTAGTAGAGAGTTGCAGTAATCCAGTTTGGAGAGAACAAGAGCTTGAACAAGGAGTTGAGCTGCATGTTCAGATAAGAAGGGTTGGATCTTTCTGATGTTTTCACCATTTTGGATGCAGTAATGGTTGCCCCATCCATCTGGATTGAAAAGTTATGGTGTAGAGTCGGGTTGGCAGAAACTACAAGCATTTCCGTTTTTGCGAGGTTCAGCTGAAGATGATGATCTTTCATCCAGTGTGAAATATCCGACAGGCAGGCTGAGATGCGAGCTGGAACCGAGGGATCATCAGGATGAAAAGAGAGGTATAGCTGGGTATCATCAGCATAGCAGTGGTAGGAGAATCCATGTCTCTGGATGACTGGTCCTAGAGATGATGTGTAGATGGAGAAGAGAAGTGGCCCAAGAACAGAGCCTTGAGGTACCCCAGTGTTTAGATGCTGTAGGTTGGACACCTCTTCCCTCCAAGACACCCTGAATGACCTGTCAGAGAGGTAAGATCTGAACCATTGTATAACAATTTGATGCGAGCAGCAACTGGCAGCCAGTGCAAACGGATGAGTAGCAGAGTGACATGTGCTCTTTTAGGTTTATTACAGACCACTCGTGCTGCTGCGTTCTGGAGCAGTTGAAGAGGTTTGATAGAGTTAGCTGGAAGCCCGGCTAGTAGAGAGTTGCAGTAATCCGGTCTGGAGAGAAAAAGAGTTTGAACAAGGAGTTGAGCTGTATGTTCAAATAGGAAGGGTTGGACCTTTCTGATGTTATAGAGTGTGAATCTGCAAGATCAAGCAGTTCTAGAGATGTGGTCAGAGAAGTTTAGTTGGTCATCAATCGTTACTCCAAGGCTTTTTACCATTGTGGATGCAGTAATGGTTGCCCCATCCATCTGGATTGAAAAGTTATGATGTAGAGTCGGGTTGGCAGAAATTTCAAGCATTTCTGTTTTTGCGAGGTTCAGCTGAAGATGATGATCTTTCATCCAGTGTGAAATGTCTGACAGGCAGGCTGAGATGCGAGCCGGAACCGAGGGATCATCACGATGAAAAGAGAGGTATAGCTGGGTATCATCAGCATAGCAGTGGTAGGAAAATCCATGTTTCTGGATGACTGATCCTAAAGATGTCGTGTAGGTGGAAAAGAGAAGTGGCCCAAGAACAGAGCCTTGAGGTACCCCAGTGTTTAGACGCTGTAGGTTGGACACCTCTCCCCTCCAAGACACCCTGAATGACCTGTTAGAGAGGTAAGATCTGAATCACTGAATAACCGTGCCTGCAACACCTATAGTGACTCAAGCCTAGATAGCAGGATTTGGTGGTTTACAGTGTCAAAAGCAGCTGACAAATCCAGCAAGATGGAGACTGATGATTTAGAGTCTGCTTTAGCCAGTCTGAGATCCTCCACGACCGAGAACAGGGCAGTCTCAGTCGAGTGGCCTTTCTTAAAGCCAGATTGCTTGTTGTCCATGAGGTTGTTTTAAGTGAGAAAGTCTAGGACTTGATTGAACATGACTTTCTCCAGTATCTTGGCCATGAATGGAAGCAGGAATACCGGTCCGTAGTTAAGTAGCGTTTGATCCAGGTTGGGTTTCTTTAGCAGTGGGGTTACCCTAGCCTGTTTAAATGAAGTGGGGAATAAACCAGAGTCAAGAGATGTGTTAATTATGTGAGTCAGTGTTGGTATGACTGCAGGAGAGATGGCTTGCAAGAGATGAGACGGAATGGGATCGAGTGGACAGGTGGTTGCATGGCTAGATAGCACGAGTTTGGACACCTCAGACTCAGAGAGCTGAGAAAAAGAGGTGAGTGTGTGTGGTGTTGGTGGTGTATCTTGCCTGTTTGTTGTAGGTGCAGTAAATTGAGCACTGATTTTTGCCGTTTTGGTGCAAAAGAATGTAGCAAAGTCATCAGTAGTAAGTGTGGAGGATGCGGGTGGAGGAGGAGGATAGAGGAGGGAGGAAAATGTTTTAAAAAGTAAGCGAGGATTAGTGGCATTGTAAATTTTTTTATGGAAGTATGTCTGTTTTGCAGAAGTAACCTTAGCAGAGAAAGAAGACAGAAGAGTTTGGTATGTTATGAGGTGTGCAGGAGGACTGGCACGGGCTGGCCTGGATGTAAGAGGACATAGTCTGTCTAGACATGATGCTAGTGTGGAGCAGAGTGTATCAGTGGCACTGTTCGTATCAAGTGTAGAGAGTTTGCAAGATGGAGGAAGAGAGTCTGAAACAATGGTGGATAGTCTATTGGGTGACAGAGAGCGTAGGTTTCTGCGAAAGGCAACTAGTGTTAGAGTGTGTGGCGGCTCAGGACTAATGTGGATGTTGAGAGACAGAAAGAAATGATCCGATGTGTGTAGTGGAGTTACTAGTGTTTGGTCAGCGAAGCAATGTCGAGTGTAAATAAGAATGTCGAGAGTAAATAAGACAACTGCATTAGACACAGATAAAGATTGACTGAGAGTGTGTTGGTCTTCTTTAGATTTTTAATCTCTTGCATGAAATTAGGTCCACTTTGCACTTTATTCTGCCAGTTTAGATGTGAACAGACTGAGAAAGTGGATAAATTACTTAAAACACAAAGCTTATTATGACCGGTAGGGTTTTGAATCATTTGATTCATTTAAGTGTGTGTGTAATTGAGATGTGTATGTGTGTAGATGCTGTCAGCTTAGTAACAGGACTCACCCTGTGCAGTGTCTAGCCCAAGCAAATTGCTGGAGAACTACAAATCTGCCAGCAAAAGAACTACAAATCCAGTCATGCACCACTCATTCGCCTGGCCTAGATCTCTATTATTGCAAACAGACACAGCTGAAGCTGTTCGGGAATAATTACACAGTATTTATATGTCTTACACACACGTTGCTGAGTCTTGTTGAACTGTGCTGACTCTTCGCCTGCTTATTGACCACCACTCTGGATTGTCCTTTATACATCTATTTGCCCCTGTGTTGACTGTTGCTTGCATGACCATTTTGTTTAATAAACCTGCATTGGGATCCGCACTTCCTTGCCAGTGTCCACTTAGTATGTTCATTTAATTGGCTAACAAGCTTGTCTTTTTAAAGAGGACAGTCAGGCTCTTGCTCTGGGCTTCATATTTGTGTTATTTTTTTGCATTGTCACATTCATATTTCAGCCTATTGTGATGTGCTGACCGGAAAGGTTAAATCGTGATTATGAATCCTTTGATTAATCACATCGTCCTACTATTAGCGAAAAATCTTAGTATCTTTAGTTTCCAGTTTAGATGTGAAGAGACTCTGACTTTTGAAGCTGATTAAATATAGTATTGCTTTAAGTGTCAGTTAATTTCGGGTCCATCAAGTCAGTCTCTGATTGGCTGTACAGAAAACAATGATATGAGAATGCATTTGTGTAATCAAGATGTAAATGTGTGTGTGTGTGTAGTTAATATGAGAGCATGTGTAGATGCTGTGGTCTTAGAAGCAGGACTCACCATGTACAGTGATGTTCAGAGGATGGCGTTTCTCTCCAGATTCAGACTCACACCAGTAAACTCCAGTGTCAGATGTGTTGAGAGACTGGATTCCACATGTAGATCCTGTTTGTGCTGCACAATCTTGTGTGTTTGTGTGTGTGTATCTTCTCACTCTCCATCCAGCAGAGTCACAGCTCAGAGAGAGAGAGTCAGAGGAGAAGTGTTGACATCTGCTGGGCCTGAGCACCAGACGCACTGAAGCAGAAACACCTGAGACAGAGAGCAAACGCAGACAAATATACTGCTGCTGTCACTGACATAAACCTACTGGCACATTCGAGATCAACAACAGCTCTGACAGCTGCTGAAAGCTGATTTCCCTCACCAGTGACCCACAGTGGCTGTGCGCTGCTGTTCTGTGAGGAATAGGCTGGTTCTCCTCTCTCTGCTCTGCACGTATAAACTCCTGTGTGCTGTAGAGCAGCAGGACTGAGAGTGTAAGAGCCTCCAGCTCCTCTGCTGCTGTCTGACAGATGATCAGCATCTCTGAACCAGCTGAACGTCCAGCCTGTCGAGGAGCCTGGAACCTCACAGATCAGAGTCACCGAGTGTCCTTCAGTGAGCCACGGCTGTGGAGACACTCGCACTGCTGCCTGAGCTTCATCTGAACCAAACATGAGGAGTTACAGAGCCATAGAGGAGCAGATACAGACTCTGATAATACTGAACACACACACACACACACTCACCTGAAGACACAGTCAGAGCAACAGCATCACTGCGCTGAGAGCTTTGAGTGTTTATCTGTCCTGTACAGCTGTATTTACCACGGTGAAAGACCTCAACACGGCTGATCTTCAACTCTTGTTCTGAGCTTCGGCTCACAGTGTTGTTATGTTGGTTATACTGGTTATAGTTATTGTGGTTATATTGGTCTGTTTCCTCTATTTGCCATCTGTATGTCCACTCAGTGTTTCCTCTCCACTTTATATCACATCTGAGAGTGACTGTTTCTCCTCTGAACACATGTTCATCAGGCCGCACCGTCACCACAGCTTTAGGACTCTCTGTACAAACACAGTTTACTGCATTAGTCTTGATTGAGAGTTGTAGAAGTGCTGTAGATATACAGATATACTGAATCACACTCTGTGTTTTCTCTCACTTGTAACACTGAGTGTCAGTTCATCACTGTATTGTGTGTAATAGACTGGTTCTCCTCTTCCAGCTCTACACCAGTACTGGCCTCCATCAGACACTGAATCAATCTTCATGCTGTAGGAGTTTGTTCTTGTCTTCTTTATCTCAGAGTCTTGTGTGTTTTTGTACCAGTAAAAGTCCCAACTGGTGGACAGATCAGTGTTACAGGTCAAAGTCACTGTGTTTCCAGTCAGTGCAGCTCCTGCAGGATCTGATCTGAGATCAGCCTTTGGCTTTAAATCTGCAGAAGAACAAGAACAGATTCAGATTCTAAGAAGTCTGAGTTCATCTGCTGTAAACAATTCACTGAGTCAGAAAAGTAATTATTTTAATTAGTGTTGCCAAGATTACTGATTTCATGGTAAACCATGGTAAATTTTCTGATGGTCAGTATAATACTGTTTTAAATTGTAATTATCCGGTTAACAAAGTTTGATGATTATCGATGATTTAGATTTTGAAAACTTGCAGTAAATCTATGATGACGCATTCGGAGCGATGTTTAAATGAGGGAAGGAGACATATGAAGAAGATTTTTTATTTTGTATGGTTGGAAATTACTGAGGGAAACTTTTATTAAAGATGGTCAACCTGTCTGCAGAACATGTAAAGAGGAAGTTGCTGACACTTCTGTTCTGCTGAGCTATCTCTATGAACATTATCTGCTCCTCTATAGAGAATGTAAGGTACATTTACCTGTACTACAGCATATTGGATATGCATTAATTTATCCATTTAAAAATATATTCATCTCAAAAATGTGTTGATCAATATACACAAACTCCTGAAACTGAGCTAAATCATATAGCAAAATAACAATACAGTCATGACTCGTACCCCTCGACTATACACTATTATATTTGAGTGTTATTATATTCATTTAGACTTTGAATAGGTGTTGATTTCAAAAATTCTCTTTTAAATCCATAACTTCCAAACATTGTCCACCATGACCGGCAGTGCTTAAGTTTAGTTTTTCTTTTCTAGTTTGAAAATGTTCCCTTGACGTATTATTATAGACCTTTTAGCTACAAATTTGTTGCTTTCAGAAAGGTACATTTCTCTCAACTCGTCTAGAATGATGTTTAAAAACTGAACGAATACTAGATTGTGGCATTGCTGGTCCGAACTTGATGTATACTGTCTTAGTGATGGACTTAAACTTGATATTTTAAGATGTTGCACATCCCTTCACTCACTTCTTGTTTAAACCAATGTCTGGTTTTCAATGGGAAACCCAGAGCATGAAAGATGCGGGGTATGCTACTCTCATCCAGTGTCTGCTAGGCTTTAGAATCACTACAGAATGCAAACAGGCTGGTTTTAACATGATCATGGACACTGAATACAGCAGAATCGTGTTTTATTCGTGGCTTGTTGTGTTCTGCAAATGTGGAGCTATGAATGAAAGTAAAAGTGTTGCAAATAATTGAAGCATTGTGTACTCTTATGTTTTAAGGTTGGCTCTCTGTGGCTCTAAACTTATTTTGGAATAAGAACTTTGATTATAGCTGCTTTTTGTCATATAAAAACATTTGAACAAACATTTAAAAGGCAGACTGATTAGATTTAGTTCTTTGATTTTAGATTAATTTAAGATGCTGAACCTGCTCTTGGAATATACAGTATCTCTTAAGCAGGTTGCACACCAGAACCGCCGCTCAGCGATGCGCCGCATAGCGCCATGCATTTTAGAATTCTAAACATAGGTTTCTATCAGGGGACCCACAACGGTGGCGCAAGTCGGCGACGCCCAGCCACGACTCAGGACGCAGTTCATATTTCAGCCGCGCCACAGAGCGGCATCTGATTAGTTTCATGTTAAATATCATGTGAATGTGCGCGTCTGGTCTGTGATACTTTAAACTGTCATGTGCGCGCCGTGTCTCGACGCTGAGCGGCGCTTCTGGTGTGCGACCTGATCTAGGCGCGCATGTTTCAGTTCGTTAGAAAAAGATTTATAAAAGCTGCTTTAGTTTTTTTGTTCATTGCACTTCCTTAAACCTCCTATATTATCCTTGAGGTCAATTTGACCCCATTCAATGTTAAACGTATGTACATATATAAATTACATTGGTTTTTTTTGCTTCAGATTGAGTGACTTTTCCTAATTTAATGGGGAAAATTTGGCAAACATGAAATTAATATAATACTATTTTTTCAATGCCCTGTACAAATTTTGTAACATCGGTGTTCATAAAAACTGCACATATTTTATTTGGGTGATATTGATGTCACTACAACATGCTATTCACATAACATAAAGGGTAGGGGGAATTCTAATTCTCTAAAAAACGTTTGATATTTCCCATGCCATGGAGGAGTGGAAAATATCTTTCCTGCGAGAACTTTGATATTTTCTTTGTTTTTTTCATGAGAGGGCAAAGCATAATTGACATGGTTTGCAGAGTAGGTGCAAAGCTGTAAAAGCTTGCACAGAAGCTCTCTAAACTATTACTCTTTTAGGGTGACAGGAGGGTTAAGTGTGTGTCAGTTATTTTTTGAACATCTTTAACACACATCTTCAACACACACTCTATTTTGACGGTCCATGCGCAGAGCGCAAAACGCAGGGCGCAAACGCTTTCAGGCCATGTCAGAACGCATTTTTGCTAATATATGGACGGGAAAATTCACTTTGCGCCGTGGCGCATGGTCTAAAAGGGTTGAGTTTAATGAGTTATAGGTGTGTTTTGAGAATAAACCAATTAGAATCTCATCTCCCATTCCCTTTAAGAGTCAGCTGCGTCACGCCAAGAGCGCATTCACTATTTACAGGACGCAAAGGAAGTCTAAGTGGAAAAGCTGAGCATTAACAAGCAAACAGTTAACAGTTTTTTTTTTTAACAGAAAACAGTTTAACAGAGCATCTACTGCGTGAGAATGAGAGATAATGGATCTACTTTTACTTTCGCTCTTAATAGGGAAACCTTTACGCACAGACATCAATTAGTCTAAAAATAGTTAATTGCATTTGCTAAGCGCAAATATTCATTTCAAAACTATTTCTAAATTCAGTTCTAATTTCCAGCAAACGAATAAATGAACAATAATAACGAAGTGTGCTCAAAAACCTGAGTTATATCCTAAAACACATGCTGTGCCCCATATGGTCTAAAACCTGACAGGTGGACAAATCTAAGCTTGTTTTTAATAAAACAAACATAAATATGAATATAATAAATAATACTGCTGATAATAATAACATTTTACAGAAGCTAATTGTTATGAATGAACTGAAAAAGCCTCCCGAGATCAAGAAGACATAAAAGCAGCGATTTTTCATATTTATGTAGGCTAGAAAATAATATGTTTTGTAATATTTTAATCCTTTATATTTATATCCTATATCTATTCTTATTATATCCTATATATATATCCTTAATATTTACATTTTTTCATATGTAAAGATATTTGCCTATTGCTCTCTTGTGTGTATTAAGCAGTGCGTAAGCGAGGCGCAACTCTGTGCTGGAGTTTAGACCGGGTTAGTTTTGGTCTAATGAAAAATCTATTATAGTTTCTCAAAATAGCAACGCGCCAGCGGTCCGCCTCAGAACGCCTCCCTTTTTAGAGCAGAACGCCTATGGGTGCACAAATGAGCGCTAATGCATTTGCTATTTAAACAGCGTAGCGCAACGCCTCAAAACGACTCTTGCGCCAAGCTTAAACTATCAAAAGACTAGTGCAGCATCCACTTGGATGATGCGACGGCAGCCACAGGACAACGGTGCCAGTGCGCTCACCACACACCAGCTATTGGTGGAGTGAAGTGACAGTGACAGAGCCAATTCGGTGGAAGGGGATGATTGGGAGGCCATGATCGTAAGGGCCGATAGAGGGACTTTGGCCAGGACACCGGGGTTACACCCCTGCTCTTTCACGAGAAGTGCCATGGGATTTTTAATGACCACAGAGAGTCAGGACCTCGGTTTAACGTCTCATCCGAAAGACGGCGCCCACTGACAGTATAGAGTCCCCTTCACTTTTACTGGGGCATTAGGACTCACACAGACCACGGGTTGAGTGCCCCCTGCTGGCCTCACTAACACCACTTCCAACAGCAACCTAGTGTTTCCTAGTGGTCTCCCATCCAGGTACTAACCAGGCTCAGCCCTGCTTAGCTTCAGTGAGTAACCGGTCTTGGGCTGCAGGGTGATATGGCTGTGGCTTAGGAGAACAACATGTATTGTTTAAGAGCAGTATTGTGTCGTGAGTTTCTCAACAAAAAGACAGTTTCTCAACTGGATTTGTGGTCAAAAAGAGAAGGTTGATAGACAATAATATTACACTCACCCTTCACTGAGAGAGAAACAGCAGATAAAAATGATGAGTTTGGTCTTCCAGATCTCTGTCCTCTACACCAGTACTGATCCTGATCAGACTCAGCAGCTCCTCTGATAGTGAGAGTGTCTCTGTTTACAGTGTAATGACCATCAGACTGTAACTTTACACTGTCTTTATACCACTCATATGTCCAGTCACTGTAAGACTCAATCACACACTTCAGACTGACTGTCTCTCCAGTGAATACAGCACTGTCTGGTGTCACAGTCACTGTAGATCTGGGTGAAGCTGAGGAGAAAGACAGAAACATGAAGTGACTCAAACAACTCTCAGTCAGAATATTCATTAAATGTTGTTTGCATGTATCTGATAATGAGGATGATTTTACCAACATTGTTGTCTGTATGTGGAATGTTGTAAAGACACAAAGCCAAATTGTGACTTGTAAATTAGTGTTTACCAAACTGGGGTTTCTGAGGGATCTACAGGAGGGTTGTGTTAATAAAAAAATGGTACATCCTTAGGTATTTAACTATCCAATTTCAGTAGCCTTAATTCAAGATCTTATTTTTTCCAGTCACAACCTAAAGCTCATGACCATAAGTGAAAGTAGGAATGTAGATCGACTGGTAAATCGAGAGCTTTGTCTTTCAGCTCAGCATCTTCTTCACCACTAGACATTACTGCTGCCACTGCACTGATCATCAGTCAATCTCATGCTCTCTTCTTTCACACACTCTTGAACAAAACTCCAACATACTTTAACCTGACAGAACCAAGATACTTGAATTTGAATAAAAACAGTCTCAAATATGACATTTGGGGTTCACGTTAAGGTGACTTTAGCATTCTTATTATTAAAATATCATTTACATTTTATAGTTGATGCATCTTGTTTCATGTTTTCATATTGTGATATACAGTATAATGTCCATATTACTTGTCATCCAAATAAGAGTTTGGTATTCAGAACTGGTTTTATTTTATTTAAAAAAAATAAAACAGATAATCAATAAGATGCACTTATTTTGATTCAGTGTAACAATGACTTGTTACTCATCATAAGCTGTGATTTTATTGTGT